TGCTCCAGCCAAGCCCCGGGTGCTCAGCCACGTCCACTACCACCACCACCAGCACCATCACTACAGAAGAGACGTGGAGTGTCCACCCGGGCGGGCCGGGCAGGGGCCTGGGCAGCGCAAATCCCGGTACTCTGGGGCCAAGGTTGGCTTCCATGGTGCTCGGACACAAAAGAGGACTGAGAAAAGCCATCACTGTCAGCAGCCTCTGGAACGCAGCACTGTGCTACAGGAGGCAGCTCTGGGAGGACAGCCAGCCTGTCCCCAGCAAGGCCAGGAGCCTCCTCATGTCCCCTCCGCTTCTCCAAACAGGTTGGACTTCAGTGTAGATGCCAACAGACAATCGGGAGCAGCTGGCACATCGCCTGTCCCGCTGCCCTCAAGACACAGCTTACAGAGCCGTCATCACCGAAGGAAAAGAAAGTGTCCCCTGGAGCCCGACCCCGCTCTCCTGCCTGAGGACTCAGCCTTGCCCAAAGCCTGCGATTCTGACGTTCCTCACAGCCACCCCGCTGGCTACTGCTGCTCGCCCGAAGTCCAGCCCCTGATCCCCAGCGCTCCCCTGCCCTGCGGCTCGGGCTCTCGGCCACTCTGGAAGTGTTTAGTGCCGCAGTCCGGCTCAGAGTTGAAAAAGCAGGAGGAGGGGTTGTCAGGACGGGAGGGAAACCGCACCGTTCCTGATGATTTCTCGGGGATGGGCAATCCCAGACACAGTCTGAGTCTTCACCTTCACTGCTCGTCTCAGCAGGGCAGTCAGGGTAAGTCTGGTGTTTGCCTCTTCTTGCAGCAAGCAGGTGAAGGAGGATGGTTTGCTGAAGGTACTCTGGCTGCCAGTAGACCTGGTACCGTCACGGTGGGCTTTCCTACAGGACCGCTGACAACAGAAGCATTTCAGAGCTCACCTGTCTGGAGATGATGGCAAGTGATTAGCAAGTCTGTTAATGAGTTCACCAAACCCTGCAGTCTCATCGTAAAATAATACAAATGAGGAATAAGGTAGCTATTTTTAACTAAACATCTCTAGCAGCTGCTGGAATATCTCCCAAAGGGAAGGGTGGGACCATGTTTCTCAGTGTCCTTACATCAGTCTGGATGTCTTACAAGCAGAATCATTATCGTTAAGGCTTATTGGACTCTAGTTTTAGTCAACCCCAACTAACTGGAATCAATAAGGAAGGAAGTGTGCGTGGCTGGTAGTAGTAGGAGAACAGACAAAATAAGTTTATAGATTTGCACATCCCTCATTTCTCACCTGCCTCTGTGGTGTGGGAGTTGCTTTTTAGTGTCTTTTGGAAATCAGACGTAATTAAAGGTTGGCCCTTTGCCTAACTGCTGTACATCTCTCACTGAGAGAGGGAAAAACATGTCTTGGATGAGGCCGTTTCAAAGAACCTAACTGAGCTTTGCTCCCAGGTCTTGCTCTCTCAGGCTCCTCTGAATACAGCAACCTGCGAGTCAGCACGGGCAGGTGCTGGCTCTGACAGAGCCTGGCTCCCTTCCTCGCCCTGCCACTGACTCATTGCAGGTCCTCCGGCAAATCGTTTTGATTTAGGTACCAAATACAGATCTAGCTGCCTAATTTGTTAAAATACTGGCCTTAAACTCATGACTCACTGTACCCATTGTGCCGCGGAGATCATAACTTCCTCCCCATGCTCGTCTATCCAGCCCTACACCACACCCCGGCTCCTGGTGATGGAGTACCTGCCGAGGAGGCAGCAGGGAAGGGGGAGAGGCTGGATGGGGCATGGTGCTGGCTGCCTGCAGGGCTCAGGGCTCCCAGACTCCCAGGAACGGATTTTTTTTTTTTTTTTTTCCCAGGCACAAAAGTGCCTGACACTGCAGATAGGTGATAACGGGAGGTTCTTCAAAGGGCCCAGAGGGATGCTGCCATTTCGAGAGATGAGGAGGCAGCAGTGCAGAGATGTCTGTCTGCTTTGCAGGTAGCTCTGAGTGCTGATGTCCCCTGGGTTGGAGGTGGTGGGCAGGGATATTGCCAGGACACAGCCCTCCCAGGATCACAGCAGGAGACCTCCGCATGGAGAGAGCCCTCCTGGCATGAGGGCAGGCTGCTCAGGAGTTGCTTTGAGCTCCCATTTGAAAATGAAACTGAGAGGACTCCCCAAGCCTCCAGAGCAGGAGCCTGCGCAGCTAACGCAGGGTGCTACAGTGTCCAGGGTATTGCAAAGGTCTGTGCTGTGATGCCTCTGTCTCTTTGTAGACGGTCCCAGCGGCCCAGATCTGTGCCCATCTCCTGAAGGCGTGATGGGGGAAGGCCCTCTGACACCCAGTGAGAGCCAGTGCCAGCGTGCTTTGCCAAGCACACACAGCCTTCATTCCCTCTTACCTCCCTTTAGCAGCAGCTAGAAGGACCAATGTGTTTGCAAACAGTGTGACTCTATGTCTATTTGACTGCAGTAGCGTCTGTAAATGCTTTCAGGACCAGCCAGAGAGTCAGAATCTCCTTGTAAGATTGAGAAAATGCCTAGAAAGGAAGGATTTAACTTTATTAGGAACTGAGGGCAGCTGAAGAGAGCAGGAGCTCATGCAAGGCTTATGCTGAAAAGCCATCAAGCTGAAAACACATTGGCTGACATAACGCAACCTCTGAGTTATAATCACATCGGTTCTTCATCTTAGAAAGGGACTGGACATAAATCAATAGACAACAAGTAAAAAGAGCAAACAATCTCAAAAGACAGTCCCATGTAAGCAGGACACAAAAAATAGACAAGGAAACCAAGAAGAAATGCATATATGCCTCTGGATAAATGTTGTAAGGCTAAAAATGTAAGTGGATGAATTAGAAAGCCCGGCTTTAAATTAAAGTTTTGAAGTAAACTTTTCAGAAACCCAGTTTAAAAAAAAAAAGCCACACACAAATAGTGGGACCCTGTAATTCCCAGGTGAAATTACAGAGACGAGAAGAGTATGTCTCTTCTGCTGGCATGGGAGGGACACTGAGTTAAGGAGAGTGTAAAGTCCAATGATGAGTAACACAATAATCCCCAATTGCGCCTAAGTAGGAGGAGTATGGTATTAGGGTTATAATGCGCTGCATTAGCACAGGCTGCAAAAGAGAGCCTCCATATACGTGAGAGTCTTCTTCAAATAATACTAAAAGAAGCAGTCAAAAGAATAAGATGCTTTTGGGCACAGGGATTATTTAAAGCCCCCGAAAAGGGCTGGCCAAGCAGCAGAGCAGAGAAGGCAATTGGAAGCAAGAAGCCATTCTTCCAAAGCGAAGGTGTGGCTGGACAAAGAAATCAGAAAAGAGCTGGATGCAAAGCTACGTGCAGAGCCACGGTGAGGCAGGCCAGGAAAGATTTCTGTGAACAGCTTGTGAAAAAGAGAGAGAGACTATTAATACAAATGTTTTCAACTCCATCAGAAGGAAGAAGGCTGCCAGAGGCTCTGCAGCTCCAGGGAGTAATGCAGGTCTACGAGGGATGTTCAAGGGCTGTAACTGCATAGCAGAAGAGCAAACTGAATTCACTGCATTAGTGATCAGCGTGGAAGTGCTTGAGGAGGTTCTCACTGCTGCAGATCGCCATTCAGGTCATGGGGTAGAGGATCCCTCATAAATCAAATCATCAGTTTGAGCATTTCTGAAACACATCAATAAAGTGGATAGTAACAAATTGCCAGGGCTACAGATCACTCACCTGGGCATCATGGAGGGGTTCAGGCACAAAACTGCTAAATCACGAATGTGGACTGCAATCTGTTACCCATGTCCAGAGCCAGAAGGAAGAGCTGAGGGCAATATCATCTTGAAATAGCTGAAGCCACAGAACGATGAGCCTGACTTTCCTGCCAAGCAAATTGTTAAAAATTCAAATACAGGGTCTGACTTGTAGGCACATGGTTAATGTGAAAACCAGGGGAGGAGGCAACACAACTTTTGTAGAGAGAGATAATGCCTCACAGATCTTTTAGAGGAATGAAGTTCTCAAAAGATAAAAGGAAGGGTGCTCTCATAGGTAGATAACTCGCTAAAAAAATAGGAGACAAAGTGCAGATCAGTCTTAATGGAGGAAAGTTACTCGGAGAAGGAGGAAAGTGGAGTTCTCCAACTGTCTGTACCTTTCAGCAAGCTCATAAATATCCTGAACAAGGAGAGGAGATAGCAAAGTTTACAAAAGAAAAAATCCTTCAGGATTGTCAGCTTTAAAACTGTTTACAAAGCCTTACAGAAGGATCTCCTGTTCCTGAGTTATCGGGCAATAGAGTGGTGGATGAAATCCCATATAAGTAGCACAAAATGCCACACACGAGCAGAACTGCTTCTAAGTAAAAATTGAATCATTATTAGGAGCTAGCTGGGAACAAATGTGGGACAAGCAGAAAGTGCCGTTATGCAGCTGCGTAAGTCTGTGGTGCTTTCACAGCTAGCATCTGCTACTGATCACCGCTTCTCAAAAAAGGATATAGCAGACTTGGGAGAACTGCAGAAAGGTTTCGAGTACAATCACAACGATGAGGTTTTTCTGAGAAACCAGAAAGAACATAGAGACTTTCATGTGGGAAGAAGATGATTAGCAGAGGATAAGAAAGAGAGGGTATGAAATCAGGAGAGCAGGGGAGAAGGCAGATAAAAGACACTCACTGGTGCTTAGAACAAAATAAGTGGTGGCATCAAATGGGAACCAGAAGCTTTAAAGCACCCAATAAGGTAACACATGGCATGTAATGAAACTGGTGCTCATTGCCCAGGGGATGTAGGTGCCAGAAGTAAAATGGGTTCAAGAGCCTAGATCAAGAGCTATCAAATGCAGAGATGCAAATACACTCTCTGGCTCAGGAAGTCCCTAAACCAGGGTTTCCAGAAGCTGATGGTGCTCCCGTGGGATGCAACACGCTCCAGGTGTGTGCTTACCTCACCTAGCTGCAAGGTGAGCCTGAATTTTGGTCCACAGCCCCTGGAGAAACTCCACTTGTGCAGGCAGTGCCAGGTACTGGCATCACAGGGACTAACACTGCCTGCAGCCATCGCCAGAGCACCACAGATGATCCCAAAGATATTCACATGATCTTGGAGTTTATACCGCTTCCTTGAGCACCTCCACAAGCTTTTCTTGGTGGAATTTGCATAAAGATACATCCCTGCCTCTCTTGCCTGGGAGACTATATCTGGGAGTTGTTTCACTGAGGAATCAATCCTCAAGCAATGCTGAATGGATCCTTTTAAGAGAAGTCAGGAAACTAGCAGTGAATTACAGCTAGATGGCTTCCTAAACCACTCCAGCATGCATGGATCTCATCCCAGAACAGCCAGATTACTCCCAGCACAGGCTGATGAAACCTTTTGATTTCTCTCTCTGGGAAATCTCACCTCCTGCAGCACGCTGTCAGCATCCTCCTCCTCTCCTCCATCTCCTGCTCATCCTCTTAGCCATTCCCTTTCATGTCATGTCTTTGATCTTTACTAAAGAGGAGGAAAAGGATTAGAGGGTGGAAAAACCACCGTTAAAACCTAATACCCAAAGAACAAGATTTCTGTTGTATCACCAAGGTGTGCTCCTTCAAGTCATTGCCCTGGGTGGGTTTCGATGGCCACTTCAGCAGCTGAGGCTCTACCACCTCTCCCAATTCAAGACCTTTTTTTAACCTTCCTTTCTATTTGTATAACAGAAGACACTCACACAGGCATGGTTTTCAGAACATATTTTAATAATAGTGTTTGAGACTCAGGGCTCTGACTGATCACAGAGTGATTGAAGCTGTACAGTCTCTTTTGCGTTGCACATAAGCTGGTGTACATGAGAAGCAGTTGGCAATGGCTTATTCAATGTACTGGTGACACAAATCACAAATACCAGATACGCTCAAGCTCTGTCTTCTGGTACTTTGGCCATGCCTGCACACCTATGTGTATGTATAACACTGTGTGCATTAATTTTCCTGCATCGATTAGCTGCATTTTCAAAGCACAATCTCATTTGTTTGCTTTCTTCCCATATATTTAATTTTCAGATGTTCTGTTCTTACAGCTGGTGATTTATAACAAAGAAGAGTTTGCTGTGACTGTTTTGAAAAGTTGTTTTGAATTGCTCTCTATAAATATCTATACAGGCATTTGTTTCCTTTTGAGCTCAGGAACATTCGGGAAAGGGAAACGTGAAAAATAACGCATGTATGCCTTTACGGGGCTATGCTGACCCTGCGTGAGAGCTCTGGGCAGAGTTGAGAGACAGCTGGGAAAGGGACCATGGTGTGTGCATCAGCACTTGGTCACTTAGAGAGAAAGGGAGTATCTGAAGCAGTAACTCAGGGTGCACCATTTCTAGGCACCCCTTATATTGAATATTTCAAAGTAAACTACTTGGCACTTGCCTGTCAATAATTCACAACGCAGAAGGGGCTGGTGAAGAGCATGAGCTGCAGTCCTTGCTGGCTGGCCACAAGGGATTGGCATTTATGGCCAACCACCACTCATTGGCTTTGGCTTCTTTGGGGCTCAGAAGCAATTTGTGCAGCCTCTTGGAGACCATGAACTACATGTGCCATCCCTTTCTTGCATGCAGACATCACTGGCAGTCTGCTTTTGTTGTCTGGAGTTTCTGTTGTTGTTGTCCCCTGTCTGTGGAAGGTGCTGCCGTGGCACTGTGTGTCTATGATTTGGTTGTACAAATTTTCCTCAAAGAGCAAGCATCAAAAACTCTCAAAAGCAAACATCTAGTAGCGATGTGAATGCTGAGGTGCACCATGCCCTTAGCTTCTTTCTTCTGAAATACTTAAAGAGTAGCTTGATGTCTTACCTTTACATTTTATTGTGCTTTAACTTAGAAGAATAAACTGATTGGAGAGGTGGCCAGAAAAGTCCCTCCGAAATACTGGGAGAAACTTAGTGGCTTTCACTGCAGCATCTGTACTCTGTATTGCAGGGTCAAGGCCCCAGCAGCTGCAGAGTCCTGGCATGTTCACCTAACTGTACCTGACACTTTTTCTTTTTCTTTGAATGCAGGATCTGAAGAGGAGGTCCAGGATGTCCATGAACACTCAGTTTAGTAAAACACTGGCCTGTTTGCTTACTGGAGAGCTGGAGTGGACAAAGATGTTCAGCGTACCAGCCGTAGAAGAGCTTATATCTTGCTCTCTGCACAGGCAACGCGTAATAACCAGCCCTGACCTGCACGGCCCACGCCAAGATGCAAACTGCAAATAAGCAATGTGACACTTGTGGTCTACTCACATGCTCCCACATTGCGATGGTCACACAAACACAGAGCCGTGTTCTCCAGGTTCCCTTCTCCTTTGAAGGCACAGGCAGCCCATCTTCATCCTGTGGCATCTATCTGCGTGGGCTGGCTCGCTCAGAGACCACTCTTGGGAGTCACCAGCTGGAGAAGCTCACAGAGTGAGTGCAAGCTGCTATTTTGGCATGTTCATGCCGCAGAAGATTTTGCTAAACACTTCAAAAATAAACAAGCCTTCGAGACCAAAAGCTGCAGAAATTATTTTCTGTGGCCTGGTAGCTCCTGACTTCCATTTCCTCACTTAGGTCAAAAGCCAGACTTCTTCATTTAGCTTTTCCACTCTTATTTCAGACACAGGAACAAGCTGTTCTCCATCTCACCACTCACAGGTCTGCCCCGCAAGGTGCTTCTTCTGACTTCATTGGAAACCAACAGTTCTCACCACTTTTGATCATTTCGTTGTCCCTCATCTGACACCATCTTGGCCATTTGCTGCCTTTTGCCAGCAGGGGAAGTGAAGACACAGGGACAATGTCAGCATTTCTGGGAAGGAGCTGGGTCAGACTCTTTCCATTGCAAAGAATCCACCCTCTCATCTGGCAATGTCAACAAGTCTCTCACTCATCCTTTAACTCTTCCACCTACCCTCAAAATAGGTGCAATGGCGAGCCCTGTTAAGAGCAACTCATTTGTTGAGCATATTTCAAACCTGAGATGCCCCCCGTCACAGGAGTCATGGAAAATCTTTGAGTTCAAGTGGCTTCTGCTTCTCTCCTTCCTCCCTTGTTGCCCTAAGACACAGCAAAAATTCCCAGCAAAAGCATCCATACTAAATGCAAAGCAGAGCCCCATCCATCACCCAACCTTATCTTCGTATTTCTGAGATGCCAGAAATGATCCTGTGAAGGAATTTTTCAAAATACCCTTCTGCCCTTTCTAACATTTTGATGATGGAGAAAGAAAACTTGAGCAATTGCTAGGCTCTCGGTTTATTACTTTTTTTTTTCCTCCCATTTGTGGGGGCTTTTTTTGGAATGTCATTAGTTCTTATTTCCTACATCCCATAATTCAGGGACATTCAAGTAAAATAAAACCTGTCAAATTCAAAACATACAGAACCCAAACAGTTTTCATATAGCTGGGAATGAGACTGTCAAGTTCATTGCCCTAAATGATCATTCAGGCCAAAGAATTAGCCAGATCCCCACGTGAAGTGCACATTTATATGGCACCAAGTGTTTCCAGAATTAACGCTAATGAAGCATTGGTGAGGCTACAACACTGGAGCTGAAGGTAACTCCTGACAATTTGAAACCTGGTGTAGGGACAGACTTCCCCCATCTGCTCAGTGCTCAGTAAGCTTTCTGTGTCTTCCTTTGAAGCAGCACCTTCTTCTCCAGTTCAGGAGAGCGCACTGGTTATGTAGTCCCAGTTCAGGATAATCCTGCCTCTGCCTTCCTTTGTTGGTGAGGAAAGCTTTTTATGGGGTTTGCCGCCTTTAATCTTTGAAAAAGACATCTTTGTCCCAGCTGCTGATCAGTCACTGGCATTCAAGTGATGGTATTAAAAGTCAGCCAATAGCACTGTTTTAAACAAAACCTTATTCCCTTGCTAGTGTTCATTTCTTGTCTCCTGTGACTGAGCCACTGCAGGACCTTTCAGTCTAAAGAAAAGCTGAATTTCTTTCATCAAAGAACCCAGCAGAATTACATTTTAACCTTTCCAGGCTCTTCTTGCTTGTCCTACAGAGCAATTAGAAGACACAAGCTCAGATATTTTCTCCCTTGCAGGGAAGTCAGTCTTAAACTAGAGGAAAAAAACCCAGGAGCGGTTCTGGCTTCCCCCTGCTCAGCTTCTTGTGCATGTGGTCCATGGTTTATCTCAACCAGCTCCCTACGCCCTTCACCATCCTGGAGGGCTCAGATGACTTTACAGAGGGGAGGGTCCTGAAGTCCGGGTGCTCCCACTGGTTTCTGTAGGAGTCAAGAAGGCTGAGAACCTCCGGGGATGCATTTCACTGCCTCAAAGGACGAGCGTCTAGTCTGCAGTCAAAGCCCTCCTCCCTTTCCCTCCTTATCCTTAAAAAAAAAAAAGGAGGGCTCTGAATCTGTGGCAAGCCCCAAGCTTCTTGGAGAAAGTGGTCGGCACTAATGCACCCTTTCCACTCCCTACTGCAGTATTACCAGGCTGTGCAGGGCAATGCCTGCTTTAAAGTGTTTTCCTTTCCTGATGTTATGCTGCTGCTCCTTTTCATCTAGAAAACAGCCATCCTAGATGCTGGGCCCCCTCTCTGGGGCTTACTGAGCTGAATGAAAGTGTGCAGGTCTGCCTCGGGGGGTTGTCAGGTGGGAGGAGAGGGAGGAACTCTCTGGGAAGGTGGTTTTTAAGATCCTCTTCAGTAGATGGACTACCATCCTTGGCTGCCTGGAAGGGAAGAAGCAGTATCTGAGAAAATGGGGAACGGCTCCTCTCAGTTCCTGGCCCTCTCACTTCTGGGCAGTGCTTTTGAGTGCTCAGTACCCTTGGGCTCCATCACAGAGTTTCTTCAGCATCACTGCAATGACACGGAGCTCATTTTCCTTTGTTGTGTCCAAAGTCTCAGCTGAAAAATGATGGAAGCCGGAGCATCCTAACTCCCTCTGTCCGAAACCAAAGCTCCAGCCCTTCCCCGGGAGCCGGGGCTGGCTGGACCTCCTCCCTTCCTGCACAGAGCCTCTGCTCTCCCTTTTATAATGTTCAGATCCTTTTGAAATGTGAATATAGGTTTGGTTTTTTGTTGTTGTTTTTTGGGGTTTTTTGTTTTTGTTTTTTTTTTGTTTGTTTGTTTGTTTTGGCTGTGGTTTTTTTTTTTAAAACCCCTTCCCCCCCAAAAAAAAAGGAAGAATACGTTTTATATATATGCAAAACTGTGTATTTATGTCCGATAGAAACAAAGATGTGTGAATATGCTGATGTGCTCAGAAATATATTTATTTACTAATATATTTATCCATGTACTCGGTCTGCCTCGTTTTGTTCTTTGTACCGAGCCATCGAGGCGGTGCTGCCAAAGGCGCCTCGGTCCAACGGCACGGA